CGGAAGGTAAAACGTTAAAATCACCAGTGATGCAATTTTTGGTACAAAGGCTCGACTGCACTAAAAGCTGCACGCTACCCTACTAATAAATTCGACAATTTTGTTAGTTTCTCTTGGCTTCGAGTTTATCCGTCGCTGGCTTCGTTGTTTTTCGTAGTATTATGGTTACATTGGATGATATTTACTACTGGCGAGATGCGAAAAAGGGGTTTATGAGCCAGGGGTTGCACAGACACCGCAGGGCGGGTGACTGTCAGGGAAGCGATTCGGTGTTCTTGAAGATTCTTCTTGCTTTTTTTCTTCTTTGGGAATTACTTATCAGCTACTGTTTCATAATTGAAGCAGCAACTATCCATGACACTTTATCGCGAGAACTGTCTTTAAAGGCAAGTGGAACGATAAATTGACAAAACATACAACTTCGACGTGTAGCACGAAAGAATATTGTGTTCCTTAGTGTGGCGCCACTGTGTGGCGCCCAACCAAAGTGCAACATGCCGACCCAGACGCCCACCGCAACCGCCCGCCCACAAATGGCCGTACAGTCACATCACGCTGGTACTCTTATCGCTTCATTCATGAAGTACAGTAGATATGAAGAGTTATGGAGCGCAGTTGAGATGAAGAGTTGCTACATGTATATATGAATACATACATACCAATCGAAGCGTCTCCTGGCACGGTGCAACTGGAAACTCATCCAAAATCCCCTTTCAGTGCCGTGCAGAACGAATGTTTTCACAGGTCTTCGGCCGTATAACATCGCGCTTTCATCACTTTCCGACTATATAGCCTCCACTACTATTTTTGAGCAAGTAGCGAATTATCGTGGCTTATGCCTTAAAGTCTTGATTAGACGCTCGGAGAGTGAACTTGCTCAGGAAAAGCGCTAGGCGCTAGGACCTCTTAAATAGCACGTTCTTTCTACCAGGTGCTGAGCGTTTTTTCCTTCCATGATTTGAGTGGTTCCATGGGAGCAGTATTGTTAACATCCCATGCTATCCCACAGCTCCTTCTCCGATGGATCAGTAGGTTAGCGGCAACCTTCCTACGACGGTAGCCCATGATCAGTTGCCCCGAGAACTGCTTTTGTTGGAAATATCATTTTGAATGCTCTACCGTTTGATAACCGTTACCTGACATTATTGACGTATCCGACGGAAAACTCTTACTATTAGGAACCTTGGCGCACTCTTGGTAACGAGGAGTCAATTCACTAAAGTGTAACCTATTAGTCGCTCCTACATGTGGCACATTCAATCAAGTTCACAGACAACAAGTTCTTTTCTTGTGGAACAATTCACTGAAGAGACAGCTACGTGACACGTGTGTAACGCATTGCGATACCCATCGATTTAGTGACCAATTTTTCAGTATATGTGAGTATAGGCCCCCACAAATCCTATCCGCAGCCTCAACGTGGCGTGGGGGTGAACGGTTTTGGACTGTTCCAAACCGTACCAATGCGGAGGGTGCCACGTCAGAGCCTGGCGAGCTACGCGTGGTCAAATTTCTTCTCGCCGAAAACAGTAATAATTATGGGCCTCATTCCCCTGAACCTGAGGGAACCACCGACAGGGCGACGTCGGCTGGGACCGCTCGGGCGAGGCTGCAAGAATCACAGGGCCAACGGAGATTTAAGTCGCCCAGGACTAGGATGACGATCTGTACTTTCAACGCACGGACGCTTGCATCGGAAGCTCACATCGAAGATGTTGCAAGCCAGGAAGATCAAGTACGACGTCATCGGACTGACCGAGACGAGGAGGCATCGCCCGCTACACGCCGTATACGAGACTGGAGAAGAACTGTTCCTCGGAACATGCGACAGCAGAGGCGTGTGGCGTCCTCGTCAACACGCACTTGGCCATGAACATCGATTCGTACGAAAATCTGACGACCCGAATCGGACGTTTGCGATTGAGAAGATGTGGTTCAACTCCAGCTTTGACAATCTTCGTCGCCTACGCACCAACATCAAGCTACGAGGATGAGCTCGAAGCGTTCTATATGGAATTGGAGAAGTTCTACAAGGAAGATCATACCTTCTTCAAGGTCATCGTCGGTGATTTCAACGCTAAGATCGGACCAAGAAGAACGGCTGAAGAACTTCACATCGGAACGATCACGGAACGGATGAATGAGCAGGTGAAAGGCTGTCTGAGTTTATCATGTCGACCCACACCATCCATGGTAACTCGCAGTTCCAGAAGCCCTACTCTCTACGCTGGACATGGGAGTCTCCTGGTGGACAATTCCATAATGAGATCGACCACATCATCTTCAATCGAAGGTTTTGCCTGACCGACGCCGCTGTTCTTCCTAAGTTCTACACGGGATTCGATCACCATCTCCTTCGCGCAAGATTCCCCCCTCCAATGTGAGGAGAGAGAACTGCAAAGTTCAAGGAGAGGCCTCACCGTCATCGATTGGGATCACTAATGCTGCTGGCTGATTTCTACTGCGCGTGTGAAATAATCGGTCTACAGCTGAATCTAACGAAGACGATGTTCATGAGCAACGGAATGGTTTCTGATGCCCACGCTCAACGGAACGACCATTTTTGAGTGCTCTAGCTATGTGTACCGGGGTCGTGAAATTAATATGATGACTGAATTAGCACCAGAGCTGAGCAGAAGGAAGCAAGTGGCTTGGGAGCTTTCAGGAACATCGAGGAAAAGCGAAGAAGACGAAGAACACCAAGCTCCGGCAGATACCTCTTCGATTCCGCGGTCCTTCCTGGCTTGACGTACCCCCAGAGACTTGGCCTCAGAGACTTGGACTCTACGAAAGCAGGATGAGCATGCGGTCGGCGTTATTCAACGCGCCATCGAAAGGGCGATGCTCGGAGTTTCCCGCTACACGCAAGTGAGAGAGGGAATCCGGAGCTCACTCCGCCGACGATCGAAGATCAGAGACGCCGCCGCTTTTGCCAAGGTTTCGAAGATTAGGTGGACGTCATGCGTTTCGAGGACGACCACTGGACCAGAACGATCACCGACTGGATTCCACGGGATGTCAAGCTAACGCCTGGACGACCGGCCACCGCGATGGTCAGACTTCTTCGTGAAAGCTCTGAACGAATGGTATGAAGTTCATCGTGTCCCTCGAGCAGAGAGAGTCCATTGGGCAACTCTTGCACGTTGCAGGGACGAATAGAGGCGTTAAACTTGTGCCCAGCTCGAGGAAGTGCTCGATGATCAAACGGATCACAGTGATTACAGGTGATTGTGAGTATTACAGGCAGGAGATGGTAGTAACAAGTGGCGCGCTCACCATTCGCGCGGTCCTGGGTTCAAATCCCAGGTCGACTTCCCGCCTGGGCCAACCAAGTCTTCTACCCTTCGGCGACAGTAAATTGGTACCAGATTGGTCCGAGAGGATAATAACACTGAGTTGTATATCTGGCCCCCGCAAGTCATTGTATAGGCCACATCGCATTCAATAAGCCACTACGATTCTGAATGGAAGTAGAATGCGTGCCGCATCCCACAAAGGGATTGATGAACGGCGAAGGCTTTACCCTTCATCCTTCATTTCAGTATAGTGTAATGCACAAGCTCTCGATGGTGATGGTGCTTGACTTTAGTGAAGTAGAAGAATCGACTGAAGCTTGGTTATATTATACGTAGCATTGTTCTATCTATATGTTGGCGATGTCAGGGAGGGCACGTTGGGGATTTTGGTTGAGTCCGAGACTACCCCCGCCCCTACCCGAGCCTATCTACCACTTTCTTGGATCTTCCCAATTCCACTTTCTTTCGCAGTTTTTTTTGCGGTTCGCCTACTTCTTCCCAGATTTTGCTGTCTAGTCAACAACTGGAAGAAAATTTTTTGCCCATGCCGCAATTTTCCTCTCAAAAGGCAAATTACGACGCTCTTTACTCCTTATAGGCGTCTGAGAAACATAAAAA